TTTTTGGTTTTTCTCCGGTACCGGGAACCGAACTCACGACCTTGCGCTTGCCAGGCAGGCGCTTTTGCCGCTGAGCTAAATCCCCAGCCCCACTTCCTCTTTTTTTTAAACCAGTGAAGAAACAAGTTCAAACTGGTGAAGGAACTTGCCCACATCACATAGTTGGGGATTCTATATACAGAGGCCTACTCTTCAGAATGAGGGAGGAGAATACTGCTTTGCATGGGTCGGGCAGCCTTTAAGGCACTGACCTAAAAAGTATTACTCCTCTTTAGGAGGCTCAGAGCCAGGCACTGGATTCAGAGGAAAGCAGGTGATGGTGCTGGCCCTCACTGTGGCTGTGTAGCTCTCTGGGCACTTGTGTGCATTGTCTCCTTTCTTCTAAAAGAGAGCAGGCTCCGAAGGTCCAAGGTGGGGCCTGAAATCTCTGCAGGGATGGAGGAAGCAGCGCAGAGAGCAGCGATGGAATGAAGCTGGGGGTGGACAGGGCTTTAGTGAGAGTAGATTTCAGCTCTGTGAGGTGAGAAGACCCGGCAAGGGCAGTCAGCCTGCCGTGGAGCAAGCTGCCTTGGGTAGTAGTGAGCTCCACAACAGAAGGTGTAAGCGAGGACCCTGCAGGCTGTACTGTTGGGCTCCCTTTCAGCCTCAGGGCTCCGTAATCTCTACTGCACAGACCTCACTGCCCTCCGGAAGCCAGGATGGCTTCTTGGGAGAGAAGGAACCCGACGGGGTGGGAGACCCTTTCAGAAAGGACAGTGCTGTCCATTCAAGAAAGCCCAGGAGTGGTGCACACCTGTAATCCCAGCACTCTGGAGGCTGAGGCAGGAGGATTGTTGTGAGTTCCAGGCCATCTTGGGCTACAAAGTGAGCTTAAGGCCAGCCTGAACTACACAGTGAGACCCTCTCTCAAAAAGACAAACAAACAAAAAAAAAAGAAAAGTAAAAAGACAAAAAGAAAGCCCAGGAAAGAGCAGCATGGTGGGGCGGGGAGCCCCACTCCACCTGTCCTTCTCCTCCCCAGTTTGGTGAGCTCCTTATGCTGGCTGCAGGCACGGGCCTGGCCCCCATGGTGCCCATCCTACAGAGCATCACAGACAACGCAGATGACGAGACCTTTGTCACCCTCGTCTGCTGCTTCAAGACCTTTGACAGCATCTACCTGAAGACATTTCTGCAGGAGCAGGCCCGTTTCTGGAATGTCCGCATCTTTTTTGTGCTTAGCCAGGTGAGTCCAGAGCGCCATCTTCCTTCCCTGAGCACCTGCAGTCCCCTTGCACCCATCCCGAGGACCAGTTGTGTCCTCTGTGCCCCAGGCCATACTCATCCCTTCCCCTGTGGAGCACCTGCCATGCACACAGAGCTCAGAGGAAGGGGCAGCCGTGCCCTGTCTGCCTGTCACCTTAGGCAGGTGAGCTGGGCTTTGCCCAGGGCTGCTCCTTCCTGCCCTACAGCTCCTCCCCAGTATCCTATGCCTCCTCCCTCACCCTCTGTCTTTACCTTTCGTTGGGCTGGGGGCTGGCTGTGGAATCAGGACAGGTCACTACTGTGTGAAGTCCCTTGAGGCTAGGACCACATTCCCCATCAACACTCCCTCCTCGGTGCTCAGCATGGTGCCTCTTGGAGCAGGGACTGTGCCAGCGACTGATGGAGCAAACTGCATCCAGGTGACTTCATGTAGTTGGGTCCCTGCCACCTCATTTTGTCCCTCCATGGCAGCACAGCTGCTGTCAGACTCACCAGGCTGCAGGTTCTCTGGCTGGAAGCTGCTCTACCTCCTTCTACCTCCTCCCTGGTTCCCTGTCCCCACCATTCACCCCAGGAACCCTTCCCAGACCCTCCCTGCCTGGGCCATGACGTGGGGACTCTTCAAATCCTGTCTCAAGCCCAGCCCCTCTCCGTTCGCCTTCCTGTGGTCCATAGCTCTACTTCTTCCTGCATTCCTCGGGTTGGGGGTCCCCTGCGGGGCTGGGGCACCCCTCCATTCCTCGTTACTCAGCGTTAGCCTTCTTGCCCTGTGCTGCGGACACTCCCCTTATCAGTTCACTCTTGAAGGCAGTTTGAAATAATCCCTGACAATTTACATGAATCTCACCACACTGACTGGGAAACTGGGTTTTCCTCCCCAGTGCCAGAGTTCCTGGGCTCAAGGTGTGCATGGATGTAAGAGAGGCGTGCTCAGCAACAAGAGCAGCAGAAGGAAGTGCCCAGAGCAGGGGTGTAAGGCCAGGCTGCCTTGTGCCTGAGAAGTGGGGTGAGAGAAGGCCCTGAGGCCAGGCCAGGTCCCTGCCCAAGAGCCTGCGCCAAGTAATCACCCCAGCTGCTGGCCAGCACTCTGCTGTCCCCACGCACATGCTACATGCTAGGGACACAAAGTGAATATGACCCTCTCCCAGCCCTCTGGGCACTTGCGTGTATTAGGGCAGATGCCACTGGGCACTTGACAAGGACTTCCCTGTAGGAGACCTTCTCTGGGCCTGGCACCATTCGACACACTGTATGCATTAACTCATTCAATCCCACTGGTTTCACAAGGTTGGTACTACCACAATGCCCCTTTTACAGGTTTGGAAACTGAGACACAAAATGATTAAGAACCTTTGCCAAAGTAACACAGCAGGTAGAAAGCTGAGTATGAGCCCAGGTGGTCCTGCTCAGATGTGCTTATCAGTACAGACAGCACAGAGTACTACAGGATGTCCAGGACTCTGATGGCCAGAAGGGAGGGGCTCACAGGCCGGATGGCATTTGCACCCGGCATTGAGGCATGCATTAAAGTTCACCTTCAGCCTTGGGTGGTGGCTGTGATGCTGCCAGGGGCCTGGGGTCATGCAGGTGGGTGGGTGAGTATCAAGGACAGGTAGGTAAAGGGCAGTAACTGTGGTGACTCCTACCCATCCACCTTCTCCGGACCCAGGAGGCCCCCTCCCTGCCTGGGCCCTAGTAACAGAAACCTCAAGGGCGCCCCTTTTTCAGCCACTTCCTGCCTGCTCTTCCTCACACCCGCCCACCTGCCCCTCCCTCCTGCTCTCCCTGGCCGCCCTCCCTGCGTGCTGTGACTCGAGTCGCTCTCTGGGGCTGCAGGTGTGCTGTGCTTATGCTGCCTTGGCCAGGGACTGTTCCCCCTTCCTCTCCTGGCATCTGCCTGCCTCTCACCTTTCCACTGAGGTCTGAGTCTGTCCTGGAAGCTGTTCCAGAGCCCCCAGGCTGGTGCTGGTGTTTCTCCTGCCCCAGCCCCAGCTCTTAAGTCCCCTTCCCACCTGAGCAGCAACCAGGCTTGACCCATGCAGTTGGGGCGGGGTCTGCCATACCCGCCTGGCCTGAGGGACTTGAGCAGTAGAAAGGGGAGGTAAGGCCTCATCAGGTGGAGGGGGAGCAGAAGATGAGAGAGGACCGCCTGTCCGTGGGGTCAGACCAGCCCCAGGTGGTGGGCTGCAGCATGCACACATGAGAGTAGAGGCCCCTATGGGTGGTACCCTCAGTGTGCTTTACTGGACGTGGCCTTCCACAACTTGTGTCCACATCCCATCACTCGGAGAGATCCGTCACTCAGCTGGGAAGAGGGGTTAGCATTCCCGCTCTAGCGCCCCTCGCTGCCTGCACCCTCACCCTGGGAACAATCTGGCCTTATGGGTCTGCAGAGTCACGTCCAGCTCTCGGCTGTTTTCCTTTTTTTTTTTTTTTTGGTACCGGGAATCAAACTCAGGACCTTGCACTTGCCAGGCAGGCGCTTGTGCTGCTGAGCTATATCCCTGGCTGTTTTCCTTGTTTGTGAGCTCATTGCATGGTTTCTTCTCTTCCTTAAAGTTCTTCTAAAATAAATAAATAAATAAAGTTCTTCTAGCTGGATGCGACGGGGCTTACCTGTCATCCTTAAACTTGAATTCAAGGCCAGCCTGAAACATATAGTAAAATCCTCTCTCAAAAACCACAAAAAAAAAAAAAAAAAAAAAAAGAAGACTTCAAACTACCCGTACTTAATGATTCATTCTTTTTCTTTTACATATGTTAATAAAATGCTTACTTAAAAACAAATAGAAGAGATTCCTCCAAGTCAACTGGATGTGGAACTTTCACTTCAGGACCCCAAGAGAAAAGGCTAGAGGGGCATCAAGAGGAGGAGCCTCTTCCCTGGGGCCGCCTGCATCTCTAGAGGGTTGCTGGACTGAGGGAAGAGCCCTGCTGGTGGCGACTGCTCCCTGGGCCCTGTGTTCCATGCACTCCCGTGAGGCCAGAGCCTCGTGTTTGAGCAGCCCATGTGTCCCCATTGCTTAGCACAGTGCCCGGCACCAAGTGAGTCCTCAGGAAATATCTGCCAGGTGACTGTGTCAGTTCATTGAAACCTTAAAGCAGAGGAACCAGAAGTGTGCCCCACGGCGATGGTGACAGCCTTGAAGGAATTCTGGGAAACCCTCAGTGAAGGGAACCTCCACCCAGTACAGGTGCAGCGGCTGCTGGGAGGCAGCAAGAGGTGGTGAGGATTGAGTCCTGGGCCTACCACTGCCCCTGTCACTGCCGCTCCCGTGTCCCTGGGAAATCCTTCGTCCTCCCTGAGCCTTGTCTGCAGTAGCTGTTGTGAGAGTGATGAAGGGAAGCCCAGCTCGTGGTTGGGCTTGGTGAAGGTTGGCTTCCCACCCGCCCCGCTTCGGTTTCCTCATTTGGCAGAGAAAAGCTAAACCCTGTGCGAACCCTGAGAGCCCTCAGCAGTCACCCTTGCTCTTTCTTGTCTTCCCAGGAGAGGTCCCTAGAACAGCTTCCCTGGAGTTACCGAGAGAAGACCCACTTTGGCCGCCTGGGCCTGGACCTGGTTGAAGAGCTGGTCAGCTGTTGTCGGAGAAAGCCATTTGCGTTGGTCTGCGGCTCGCCTGAGTTTACCAAAGACATGGTCAAGTGCTTGCTGTGTGCAGGCCTGGCCGAGGACTCTTACTTCCTCTTCTAGCCATGGCCTCCTTTCCAGAGCTCTGCGTAAGGGTCTGCTGTAGGGACACAAGAAGGACCTCAGGCTAGAATCAGGAGTGCAGGCCTGGCCTGCTGAAAACTTCCCGGGTGACCTTGGGCAAGTGTCCTCACCTCTAGGAGTTCCACACAAGCAAGTGCCCCGTGAGGTTAGTCATCCTCTCCAGCATCCTGTTTGCTGTGGAGACTGGAGCCTGTGGGAGCCCTGAGAGGAGAATGTCCGGCCTGGGAGGCAGAGAGGACTCCTCTGAGGAAGCCGAGTCCTGGCTGAGCCCAGGACTTGAGGGAGAGGCGCAGGAGAGAGGAGGAGCTTGCCTGGTCCCTCTCATCGGAGCTGTTCGGGGCTCCAGCTGTGACCTCAGCTCCAGCTCAGGTCAGGTGCTCCTGAGTGTTTAGGGAATGACTTCAGGAGAGGTCAGAGCTCTTTGGAGAACACGAACAAGTGAACCTTCAGTGCCGTGAGCCCCACGTGCTGAAGGCCTTGCCTTCTGTGATGACCGTGTTCGCAGAGCAAGGTGTTACCCGAGATGACCCCTGTGCTGGCCCCAGCCTTTCCCACTGTGAACAGCTTTGCTGTTAGGCTCCCTTCCCTGCCTCAGGAGCCCAGCCCAGAGTCCTTTCCCAGCAAAAGAAGAGGCAGGGGAGGCGAAAGCTCCGCCCTCCTCTGGCAGGCAACTGGCTCAGCCTGTGCCTTCAGCTCGGTGCCCTGGCGACAGTTGCTAGGGAGATCTAAAGATAGAGCAGGAGCCAGGAGACATGGGTTCTTCGCCCAGCTCTGCCCACTGAGCAGCTGCAGGTTAGGTCCACCTAGCCCTGCCCCTGACCCCTGCCCGGGCTATGCCCTCTCCAGGGAACCCTTTGCCCCTGGGCAGCACACTGCAGTTAATGAACTCAGCATGCCGCAGTCTGGGCGCAGTGTGCTGTACTATCATGGGGCCGGCTATAGGCAGTCCCAGACCTGGAATAAAAAGCAGTGGAGGCTTAGAATTGGAACCACGGAATCTAAGAGTTAGGCCATTTACAGTTCCAGAATTGCAGTCCTCCTATCCAAGCTGAAAGTTCAGGACGCCAGAAAGCGTCCAGCCTAACAGACAGACTGTATAAATGGAAAGACTGAGGCCCAACAGAACTAAATGACTTGCTAAGGTGAAACAGTTAGTGGTGGACACCAGCACGTCTTCCAGTTTCAGACCCTGCTCTGAGTTCTGCACTGCTGGTTTTCAGACCGAGCTTCAGGGGGCACTAGGGCCCTTGGCATAGATGGCAGCAGAAGTGATGGCCAGGGGGATCTCCTGGTCCCACTTCACCCAGAGCAGCTCTGTTTTTATCCAGTGTATGTGTTGGGGCTTGAAGTAGTTCCTGTTTGTCAGAAAAGATTTTCCTGTCCTTCCCAAAAGTTATATCAAATTGGACACTAAACGGTCATGCTAAGCAGCTGCGGGTGGTGCGAAGGTCTCAAACTGTTTTGCAGGAGAGGTTCCTTGTCAGCGAGGTGTGGGGGCTGCTGGCTGCACCCTCTCCAAGAATAATACACATGAACATAGTAAAATTTGGAAAGACCAACAGCCAAGAAATTTTTCGTTTGGTTTAATGCAGTTTCTCAAGCTGCTTCCTATGGCTCAGTGCTCTGTGGGTCTCAAAGGTTCTTTGCAGTGTAGTGAGTAGGAAAGGCCCTGAGAATCAAAGCTCTGAACACAGACTGTGATCTCCTCCGGCCAGGCCTCGGCCTCCTGCTCTCCCTTCCCCTCCACTAGTGCGTCATGAGCTGAATCTGTTCAGACACCAAGGAAGCATCAGCAAGTGCGACAGGCGCAGCCTTTCCACGGGGAGCTCCAGCCAGGGAGGAGGAGGTGTTAAATGCGGGCTGTGAGGGGATGCGTGTTGGGAAGCTGGAGAGTGAGGAGGGCCAGGGCCGCAGCACAGCCCCTGGAAGTCGAGGTTTCAAAAGCAGTATTCTCACTCATCACTACCCGTGTGAACGTGGTCCCATGTAAAGACTGGAGGGTCAGAGGCATTTTTTACATGTGCCTGTTCCACTTTTTGATATTTGATCAGGCAGCAGACAAGGTCAGCCAGGGTAGCTGCGAGCCCCTTCTTGTCAGCATGGGTCACCCTCCTGTCCCTTCCCTGTAGGGTCTGTGTGTGGGTGCGATCCCCCCATGCCCAGCAGTTTGTGCCATTGTATTGCCCAGATTTGCAAGTGAAGAAACGAAGCTTCTAAGACATAAAGCAATCCTCCAAGGTCATGCAGCGGGACACAAATTCTACCACGTTGTAACTGTTGTAAAGTCATAGGTAGCACATGAGTGCTCCTGGAGATACATATAAAGATTTGTGTATTACTGTGCTATTTGAAGTAGCAAAAGCTAAAAATCTACTTATATATCCATGGAAAAAAGTAACTTTGGTTTTTATGGTGCTGAGGATGGAACCCGGGGCTTTATGCACGCTAGGCAGGTGCTGTATCACTGAGCTACACTCCCACCTGTATATGCTCTCTATAAAGAATAAACAGCTCCTCATGTGTGTGTGCATGCATACACATAGAGATTGACCCTGGAGCCTCGTGTGTGAAGCACACTTTACCACTGAGCTATCCCTCCCCAGCCCCAGCAAATAGTGACTCATCCAGGGGTGCACCGGACGGTAGTTAAAATGAATGAACTGGATCTCCATGTGCCCACGTGGACTGCTTGGTATCAGCGTCATAAAGTACCTAGTGAGTAGGTGCTGTGACTACCTGTACTTGGAGGTTATTCAGCTCCAGAATAATTCTCCCGGGGAGGAGACATGCCAAATGCCAGCAAAGATTACCACAAGGGCTGGGCAGGAGGGGTGGGCCTGGGAAGGCTTTTGGCCATATCTGCACCTGTAGTTCATGATTAAAAAGAAATCTGAAATGAACATTGTAAAAACTGGAATGTTGGTATATCTGGGTGGTTGGTTCCCTGATGTCTGCTATTTATTTTTTTCTGTGTTTAATACAGTTATAAAAATTAAGGGTGGAAAAAAAATTATCCAGTGTGGCTGGTGAAGACTCTTCAGAAACTAGGGGTCTGAAAACATTCACTTCTCTCTCTGCCTCACAATAGGCTATGCCCTCTTTCACACTCTTCCGTCCGTCATTCAGGATTCTTCCTGGCACCTACTGTGTGCCAGGCATCTTCTCAGTGTGGGCAGCAGTAAAGAGTGAATCATTCCCATACTCAGACCCAACAACTCTTCCCTCTGCTTGGCCCGCTTCTTTCCCTCATTAACTCAAACAGAATAATTTGTCAGACATCTCAGTGGTAGACACATTTTTCTTCTTTGCCTAGAGTCACCACTACTCAATAGGCTGAGGCAGGAGGATCACTTGAACCCAGGGGTTCGCATTCCACCTGGGCAATATAGTGAGACCCTGACAGAAAGAAAGGGAGGGTGAGAGGGAGGGAAGAAGGGAAGGAGGGAAAAGGAACCTCTCTTACTATTTTTCCCATGCTTTAGAAGATTTTGATCCCAGATTGCATATATTGAACCATTATTTATCTCCCATTTTTTATTAATAAAGACTTAGATAGCTGCCTCTCAGAGCTCCTGATCTGTACCCCCAACTGAGAAGGCGCATGGCTGACACGGTCCCGGCCGGAGGCAGAGGATCTCTGCTGCATGTGTGGTCTACACAGCCTGCCGAGGGGTCCGTGTAGACACATCTCGCTTCTTTTCTTTTTGAATCAGCCATGAGTCATGGAAGCTTCTGCCCTGTCCCAGGTAGATGCTGCTTCCCCAGGTGCGTGATAACTAGGGACAGAGTTTCCATGCCAGGGGCAGTGTGAGTCCCTCAGGGCTCACTGCAGATAGGCAGTGTGCACCAGTACTGGGCAGAAAAGTGCAGGGTTCATGGAGTGGTGAAGCTGTCAGCATGCGGGTCCCACAGGCTCTGGCTGGAGACCAAGACGTCACGCTGCCACTTGCTCCCAGTGCTGGCGGAGCACACCAGCTTGTACCCGGCTGGGATGATGGTCTTGACCAAGTCCCGGATGTCAGCCCTCGGAATGGCAGCCAGGCGGGCACACTGGGCTGAATGGTGGGCTACACAAGCCAGCTTGGAGGGCAGGTGAGCCCGCATCAGTGCCTCTGCCTGGATGCAGGAGAACTTTGCCTCTGGCTGGGTGACCACCAGTGTGCCTGGGAAGAGGACGGGAAGGTGGTGAGGGTGGGCCATGTTGGGCTCTGGCCCTGACTGCCCCCCCACCCCACGCAACACCTTGCTGCGCCCCTGGCCCGGGGCCCACTTGCTCCTGGATGATACTGCCAGGCTGGTAGTTGCAACTGTGTTCTCAAAGATGTGTAGTCCTGTGAAAATGAAAATAACCATTTACTACAGGTCTGCTGGGTGCCAGATTTTAAAATTACATGGTTTGAGGCTGGGTTTGCTCCAAGGGGGCTCAGAGCAAGGATCTGGTTGCAAGAAATGACCGTGGGAGGTGATCAGGGAAGTGAGTGGGAGACAGAGAAGAAAGACAGTAAAGGGGTGAGGGTGGCAGGTCACCCCTGGCAGCAGCTTACTGCCAGAAGGCTGAAGCACGCTTTAGGATTATCCTTCGAGAAACAAGGAAGCTGCATGTTTATCCACCGAGCACCTTGCTCCCTCACTGACTGAGGGCATGAGCTCCTGGCACTCCTGTGCCCCCAGAGTGGACTCACTGGCTGCCAGAGCAGCCTCCAGCGGGGACAGAGCGACCCCTCAGTGCACATAGAAACTTCTTGCTGGGCCTCGGGGGTGGGCAGTGTGGTAGAGGTAGCATAGCAAAAGCCCACCGCTCCGTCCCTCTTCCTGCTCAGGCATTTCACTGGGAAAGAGATGCTCAAGAGATAAAACAGCTGGTGGAGGAAGTGGTGTTCTTGGATGAGGAGAGGGTGTGCTACTGTGTCCCCGCCACCATCTAGCATGATGTGTGGTCAGTGAGGGGCAGCAGTGACCGCTGAGTGAGTGAGTGAGTTGGTGCAAGCCTCGAGCCTGTGGGGGAGCCAATACTCCTCTGCGAAACAAGGATGGTAATTGCTGTCCTCCTGGGGCTGCTCTGAGGAGTGCAGGAGACAGTAAGGTGAGTGCTCAGCTCAGTGCCCGGCCCAAGGGAAACCTTAGCCTCTCTCTGCCCCTTTAAGGGAGAGGCATCTTTAAGAAGCAAAGCATCAGGCCCCACTCAGTGATCCCCTGGATCTCCTGATAATGGATCCTTTCCTCTGGGGAATCCCTACTGGCTCTGCTCACTAGTGCTGAAGCCTGGCCCAGTTTCCCCCACATTAGCATGAGGGAAAGGGGAGAAAAGCACCTCCACGTTTCTCCAGTGAAGAACGCACGCTTGCTGTCTTGCTCTCCTGCTGGCTCTCTCTCCGTCTCTCATGTTTTCAGCCTCACCTTGGAGAGCCGCCAGTACCTCACAGTGCGCACTCCCACTTCTCTCCTAACCCCGCTGCAATCTGCCTTCCACTCCCTCCTCCGTTCTGCGTGCCTCCTGAGGGCCCTGGAGTCCAGAGCACATTTCTCAGGGTTTGATGCTGTCGATTCCCTCCTTTCTGAGCCTGTTTCAATGGGGTAATAATGCCTACCTCCCTGACTATTCTGCCAACTAAATAGCTCATTCATTTAGGAGTCAGCAAACATTTCTGAACACCTTCTCTGCTGGTCTGGAGGTGTCCCGGTCTCACGGGGACTGCAGAAGTCCCTGTAGCAAGTATGCAAGGCCCAGCTCTCTGCCTAACACCCAGCGGACACTCAGTGAGTGCAGGTCTGTCTTTTCTTTTTGTCCTCTCTGGCCTGTTTCCATAGCCAGACCGTGGGCAGGAAGAGGGGGTTTGACCTGCTCGTTGAAGTCTCCACAGCCCTGGCTGCCTGTCTGCAAGGAGCCCTGGCCACTCACCCTGAGCTCCCAGTGGCGCCTGCACGCAACCAGGAGGCCCTGGAAGCTGACTCACAGCTTCTGCATCTGGACTTCCGGAAGCTCGGCCGGCCCTCCTTCTCAATGGAGGACATGAGAGGGGGTGCTGCTTCCTTGGCTGGCATGGCTAGCAGCCTGTGGGAGACCCAGGGGCCAGGTGGAGAAGTAGGGACCCTGGGTACTCAGTGAAGGGGCCTCTGGAGTCTTGGCCCCAGCTACCTCCTGCTCTAGGCATCTGTAGGCACCACTGTGCATCTATACCCAGTCAGAGCTACCCCACAGGGGCAGAATTAGGACAAACTCGGGCTTTAGAGCTAGTCACACGGTAGTAAGTTCCACCTCAGCTGTGTCACTGAACTGTTGTGTGATCTCAGGCAAACGACTTCAGCTCCCACATTTGAAAACTGGTGATGATTTTGTTCCTTCTCTCAATTGCTCTTTGTTGAGCACTTAGCTTGCAGCACGTGCTGGGCAGTCACCAGGCAGGGTGTCAGCTAGGTGCTACTGCCCTGAGGAGGCTTGGAAATATCAGGGATACTGACTCCTCCTTACTGGATACCAAGCACAAGCCTACTGCTCCAGAACGAAGCAACAACTGCGCTGCCTAGGTTTCCCTCTGCTGAGCTTCCAGAAGTCCAGAGACAGAAGCTGAGTCAGCTTCCGGGGCCTCGTGGTTGCTGTGCGGAACAAGTGGAATAAGGAGCATCATTATCCAACACTGGGCCCGGTAGAGTAGTGAGTAGGTACTTCATAAATGCTTGATGAATTAATAAATTAGTTCTTTCTGAACCTTACTCACCAGTGGAATGGAGCTGGGAGTCTTTACCTCTGCAGAGTTGTTATAAAGAGTTTATTTAAAGTAATGAGCGCCTAAATAGAGCAGAGCACATGGCCATGTGCTCCTGTTCTAAACCCTTTGCAAATGTTAATGCATTATTCCCATTTTACAGGTGAGGCATGGACGGGAGGTGAAGGAATGCATGTGGATGTGGCTGGATAGCAGTGTGCCTGGCAATCAGAAGTGCAGTTGTTGCTTCGTTGTGGAGCAGGAGGCTTGTGCTTGGTATCCAGTGCAGGGCAGGCACCTGGAAGGCTCTGTTCTTGTTTCCTGAGATCCAGCTGTGAATAAGGAGCTGAGGAGCAGGTTACAGGGGCAGGGTGAGAAGGGGCGAGGATAGGCCAGCCCAGAGGGGCAAAAGAAGGCAGCAGAATCTCCAGAACCTCCAGAGGTCCCAGTCTTGGGACTGCCCGCCCGGCAGCCTCTCCTGAGGTGGGGAGGGGCAACAGAGCAGTTTCCCTTTATGCAACCATGACCTTCCTCTAAAGTACCGAGCTTATTAGAGGCCCTTGCTTGGCCACAGAAGCAGGACTAATTGGCCATGGAAGGACAGAAGGAGAGAGGCCAGAGCAGCAGGAGTGTACCTCCTCACCACCTCTGCCTCGAGGCCTTGGGGTCCTCTTTCAGGACCCCCTTCTGTCCGGCTTCCCTGGTGATCGCAGATAGGGGCCCAGAGCTCCAGCCCTGCACCCAGGCGGTGCTGGGTTTGAATCCTGGTTCTGTCGAGTATTGGCTATGGGGGCCCTGGGCAGCTATTTTGCCCCAGCTACTTGTCTGTGCAGCGGTTGAAGCTGGTAGCTCCACTGAGCACCGTGATGAGGATGAAATAAGTCAACCGATGTAAAATGCTGGGCAAAACCCTCAGCTCGGTACAGAACCATGCCAGCTCCTACTTGTCTGCCTGTCCACACGCAAGCAACATGGACATACCCTCCACAGCCTGCAAAGTGCTTTCATCCATCCTTTGGATCACGTCATTGGCCCTCACAGCAGCCCAGGGAGAGAGATGGTTAGGAACCCCCTTACACAGGCAGAAACTGAGGCTCTGAGAGGCAAGGGGCTTAGCCAAGATGACACAGCGCTCTGGATGTGGAGCTAGGACCCAGCTCCTGGAGTTTCAAACCCAAACCACTGCTCCTTCACTA